AAAGAATCATAAACAGCTCCTTGTATGTCTTAACAGACATTCACAACACCAAGGCTAAAGATGCCAGACAAAGAGATTCCTTTATAAAAAGAAATCTGAATACTTGGGAAACAAACTTCCTTATTAAGGTATTGATAAGACAGAGGAAGCTGCAGGGGAAAATGCAGCCCTCAAGTTTCAGGCTTAGAATCTAAAACAGAACATTCACCAAGCGCCAAGTTTTCAACACACAGGATTCACAATAATACCCTCTTTATTCAAAATTTCTGGGTACTAAAGAGTCTAGTAATCTCCATTTCTGTTTTCCAACAAAGTTGTGCCAGGTATAATTAGATCTGGACAAAACTACCTATGGCTAGTGTATCCTCTAAACTAGAGAAACTTACACTAAGATTTAAAGTGAATCTACATGCCCTTAAAGTAGACAGGAAAACCTCTCTTTTTATCTATAACTACCAGGTGCTGCTGCACTGTGGGCAGAGTTCAGATATAAAATGGAGAAAGGCAAAGCTGAAACAAAGTATATTGAGAAAATGAATGCTGAGGGAAATTTAGCTATTATTACCAATAGTATTATTCAATATTATTTTTAATAAAGCTAGTATTCAAAATATGCTAATTCTGTCAATCAGTTAAACTGGTATATCATGAGAAAAGCATTCTTAATTTTATATCATGATGAGAAATGTTTAAATTTATAAATTAGCAGTGCTGCCTATTATTTGTAAGCAATACATTAGGTGCCAACAGATATTTTAGGCAGCGAAAACTGACCAACAAAATGAGAAGTTGTTAAGATACAATGTCCTCACTAGGCTAATCCTCTGCCTTGCGGTGCCGGCACACCAGGTTCTAGTCCCGGTCGGGGCACCGGATTCTGTCCCGGTTGCCCCTCTTCCAGGCCAGCTCTCTGCTGTGGCCCGGGAAGGCAGTGGAGGATGGCCCAAGTCCTTGGGCCCTGCACCCCATGGGAGACCAGGAGAAGCACCTGGCTCTTGCCATCGGATCAGCGCAGTGCGCCGGCCGCGACGGCCATTGGAGGGTGAACCAACGGCAAAAAGGAAGACCTTTCTCTCTGTCTCTCTCTCTCACTGTCCACTCTGCCTGTCAAAAAAAAAAAAAAAAAAGATACGTCATTCTTTCTACAGCAGGGACACATAAAGCAGACCAAAAAAAAAAAAAAAGGCTTTTTGATGCTCCACCTAGCAGAAAAATGCTAATTACTCCTTCTGCTAATGTTTTAACATTTATTATTGAAAGGCCCCAGAACACTATAGGGAAAACTATCTGATGCAGAAGGACAGTGCAGACAAGTAAACTAGAAAATTTATTCATAACATGCAATAAAGAATAAAGTACAGGGCCGGCACTGTGGTGTAGCAGTAAAGCCACTGCCTGCAGATCCGACATCCCATATGGGCGCCAGTTCCAGTCCTGGCTGCTCCACTTCTGATCCAGCTCTCTGCTATAGCAAGGGAAAGCAGTAGAAGATGGCCCAAAGTCCTTGGGCCCCTGCATTCACATGGGAGACCCAGAATAATCTCCTGGCTCCTGGCTTCGGATCGGTACAGCTTTGGCCGTTGTGGCCAATTGGGGAGTGAACCAGCGGATGGAAGACCTCTGTCTCTCTGCCTCTCCTTCTCTCTGTGTAACTCTTTCAAATAAATAAGTGAATCATTAAAAAAAAAAAAAAGGAGAATAAAGTACAATGAAGAAGAAACCTACACAAGCACCACCAAATACCATTTAAATAGCACCTACAGATAAGTGGTTATCAGCTCTTAAGTACAGAAAGCAGACACATCCCAATAAAGACAAATCCCAACATAGGCATTTTCATATTAAAGTAGCAGCCAATAGCACAACTGCCTTGGTCTTTGTTTTGAAAAATGTGTTTATGTTAATGGCAGAGAAACAGAGAGATCTTCCATCTACTGGTTCACTTCCCAACAGCTTGAGCTGAGCCAAGACAAACCCAGCAATCCGGAACTCAGCCCAGGTTTCTGATATGGTGGCAGGGATTTGACTACTTGAGCCAGCACCTGCTGCCTCCCAGGTATGCATTAGCAGGAAACTGGACTGGAAGTGGAACTGTGATTCAAACGCAGGGATTTCAACATGGGATGCAGGTGTCCCAAATGGTGACTCAATCACTGTACCAAATACTTGCCCCTACAACTGTTTTTTTTTTTTTTTAAATCTGACATCATTAGAAAGCACTGTGTCTCATCCCCCTTTCTAGAAGCTAATTATAAAGCTGTTTTACTTCTTTATTCAACTCTGTATAATAATAATAATAATAATAATAATAATAAATCAAGTCTGAAACTCAGGGCTTGCCATTCTTTTTCTCTGGTTTCTGTAATCCTTATACCCATTTCCCTAATACAGCCAGCATCTAATCATGTCACTACTTAGAAAAAGAGGAAGTAAGAAACCAATCTCAAGAATCTCCATTGAGGCAGCAAACAGAATAAATGAATGACAATTCTGAGCTCTTCCCATGTGATCCACCCAAGACACAAGAGCTTACTGTGCCTTATATTGCTACATAATTTAACAAATAACTATCTTTTCCTTCCAAATATACTACAAACCCAGAGCAGCTTGATCCCCAATAAACTCTAAACCTTCCAGAAAAAAACAGAGCCATCATAACCATAACTTTATATTTTCTTATGGTCCCAGACAAAACCAGCTTCCATTCATGAGCAGGACAGAAGCTAGGAATCTTCTGTAAGGGAACAAGAACAGAATGGGAGTCTGTCACCAGGGAAGGATGAGGTCAGTCACTACGTAACAAACACATCTTGGAAAAAGGAACATTAAAAACAATTCCTAGCTTTCCGAAAGTTTTCAAGTTCGATGTTTTCTGCCTACTGTCGAGTAAAGGAGATGAAACGGTGGGGGCAGTTGTGCCTGTCATCACTACTGGTGTCTCAGGATGAGAAAACTCAAGTTTTTCTCCCCCAGTTATGTAAGATTAATTTATATAAAGAGCTGTGCTCTTTCCTTAGTTTGCTATATACCAGCAGCGATACATCATTAAGAAGGGAGTGAGACCTTCCTTCCGATCTCCCAGATGTGTCTCTGAAAAGAAAACGACAAAATCACTGACGTCCAACGAGCAAAGCCTCACCAGAGTCTGCAGGGGAAACAAGAAGGGAAGGTCCGTGCTTGTACAGGCTGCAAGAAGTAAATTTACCAATAACCAAACAGTCTGTCCAAGAGAGGACAAAGAACAAATAGCAGTTATATTCCAGCAAACCTGGAAGAAAGATGGATCTAAAAGGCAGCTTTAAGAATGCTGGAAGCACCCAAGGAAGTGGAGGGGAGACAAGTGACATTGTTGGATGCTTAGCTCAGGAAGACAGAATGGGAACCTGAAACAAGGCAAACTTTAGGATCTTCTACACTCTTTGCACACTGAGAAAACAGATCCTGTTTAATAACACATCATATATCATATGTATATTCCCTTTTATTATTAAACATTGTCAAATCCTCCATAAATTCTCTTTTCTTTACCCGAATCCCTCCAGAATTATTTGTGATTCTAAAGGATTAAATACATGTGAAATGAGAAGTCTTGAAAAATTGTCACCAAGAAATCAATGATTTTATTCTCAAGCTAATCAGTCATAGTAAACTGAAAAGAGAAGACCAAATATAGAATTCTAAAAATCTCAGTGATAATAGATCAGGTGTTCTTCCCTTATGTAAATTTTATTGCTACAGATATTCTCCCAGGCTACAAGGTCTTAAACTATTTTCCTAATAGTGGTAATGCTCTCATCTATGGTCTTTAGCCAGTTAACCACAAAAAAAGTGTCAATTGGTGGGATTAGTTGGGCAATCTGTACTCAAGCAGCATCAAATGATGCTAAGAGCCTGTCTGAAAATCCACAACCTTTGTCTCATTAGCACTGAATTCTAGCTGTTAAAGATTCAAATACTGATTTGGATTTTTTAAAAGGGCTGTGAAATACTAACAGTGGGGAGAAAATTCATATAGTCTATGCAAAATTTTTTATTAATGGGAACCAGCTGCAAGAATAAGAGATTTGTTTTCAGTGTTTGAGCCTGGTAGAATACTAATGGATTTCCTCCAGCCCAAGTTTTCATTCTGGAAGGAAACCCTTTTAATTCATTACTCTCTCCAAGTCCCTGGCACTTTTCAGAATTACCTTTCTAAAATAACTGTGCTACAGTCCAAACTTTCTACCCATTAGATGGGTGCAGTTGCACTCTGAAGAGCCATTCTTTATAAATGAAGTCATCCATCCCCCAAGGGAAAATGAGCTCCTAACTCTGTTTTATGCAATCCCAAGACCTCTTGCACAATGTAATTTAGAGTTGTGAATTTTAGACTTCAGAGTCAATATCAAGGATATATGCCATTTACAAAACATTTTGATAAACTATTCACCACTATTTTTACCATAATTCAATTTGATCGCCACAAACTTAAACACTTCATAAACATTTTTTCCAAGCTTTGGTTAAGTAATTTCTCATCTATACAGTACATAAATTAATCTAAAATTATTTCCACATAACTATCTTAATATTTAATACACCCTATCACCTACCCCCAACACCAACGACAACACATTACGTGTGTGTGTGTTTGTGTGTGTATAAATATATAGGCTTTGTTTTCCTAACTTAAGACAGCCAGCAATTCCACTTCAGAACTTACAAAATTTTAGTGTGCCTCTAGGAATTCAGGTTCATTCAAAATGAGGAAAATCAGTTACGTAAGTTTTTAAGATTAAATATAGATGAACACCCATTTCTTACACCAATATAACTCAGAAATCCTGAGATTAGGTGGAAGACAATACAGTATTCCCACAATGTGGGGTTAAGTGAAATTTCTACAAAAGATGCCTCTGGCACCTTAGACAATTGTTGAGTAAAGAATATCCACATCAGATTATGACCAACACAAAAACCTTCATAAAACTGATTTTAAAATGACAAAGCAAGAAACAAACCTCAATTTTGTCTGTTTTGGCATCTCCCCAGTAGATTTTGCCCTCATCATAATCCAAGGCTAAACCATTTGGCCAACCAAGAGAAGTGTTAACCAATACTACTCGATCGGAACCATCCAGAGCTGCTCGCTCAATTTTCGGTATTTCTCCCCAGTCAGTCCAATACATGTACCTTCAGAAGTAGACAGAAAACAAGTTAAAAATACATTATAAAATGTAGCTTTCAGATATGCTAACGGGGAGATCTATCCCTAATAATACTTTGGTATCATAAATCAACATGATAGGGGATAACGAATATGAGACTTAAACATATGGAGCATGTTGAAGACATTTTTAATAACAGTGTATAAGCCTATAGAAAATTTCCAGGCTAAACAGCATCTTCTAAAACGAATCTGGAAAATGCCTAATAACGAGATTTCATCTTTTCTTACTTTTTCAAAATATTGTGTGCTCCTTGCCTTGAGCGTTTACTCTTTATCCAGATGCCTTGTCATCTCTGATATAAAGAGCTTATACCAGCAGCAATAGTCAGAAGACAAACTGAATATGCAAAACAGCTAATTCCTCCTGCAGTGCTAAGTGAGTCGTGTGGCTCCTTGATATTTAAGTGGTTCTGGGGCACCGGTATACACTGAGGTATGATAATTTATCACTAAGTTTGTCCTCAGAACAAACTTCACAGCAACAATATGATTGGTGAGATGTGTAGAAAACTGTGCTTTCCTGGACTACAATCAGGGTGGGATAGCAAAAAACCAAAATAAGAGAAGAATAGCTGCATGCTAACAAAGTTAAAAGAAAACGAGGTATTCGCATATTTGAGGAAATATAAAGTAAGATATATTCTTTCTATAAGCCCTGAAAACAGGACAAGGTTAAATCTTCCAGGGAATGGGAAAGAATTCTGAAAACAATTTCTTTCCCAATTTTTCATGGTCATGAGGCAATCTCAGCATGTTACAGACAACACCAAAGTCAACAGCACAAACTAAAGTTAGACAAAGTATTTCAAGACATGTAAGGCAAAAATTAACATTTCACTTGAGATTTTATTCCAATCAGCATACCCTAAAAATGGACAGCCATTAGGGAACTGTTGGTTGGAAACCAACTTTTATACTTTATGGACTGTACTTCTTATTGTCTTAGTCAATGTTTCTATAGGCACCTAAAGAAAACAGAAACACCAGACAGATTCACTAACAACAGGGCTTTCTTACCCAACCATGGGATCTAACACAATAGCCCGGGGCTCCTCCAAGTCCTCCGAAATCAAGATCTTCCTCATGGTCCCATTGAGCCTTGTCACTTCTATTCGATCAGTGCCAGTGTCTGTCCAGTAAAGATTTCGTGCAACCCAGTCAACAGCAATACCATCAGGATGGGCAATTTGAGCAGTGACCACGAACTGACTGCCAGATCCATCTATGAACGAGCGCCGTATGGCCCTCACTTCATCATCGGTCCAGTAGATGTAGCCATCCACAGGATCGTAATCTATGGCAATGGCATGCCGGATATCTTCTAACTGCAGAACAATGTCTGTGAAATCTGGTGTATCCAAAGAAATGCGTCTCAAATCTGTCCTTCGGGCTAAAAGTAGTAATTCTGTAGCACCTAAAATAACAAAAGTGAAATAAAGACAAATAATTTGAAAGTCACAGGCAATATTTAATCATTCAGAGAATGTAAACTTTTTCATAAATTGAAAAACAAGTGAGTATGAAAGGTTATTAAGAGCGGAAATGGAAAGTTACACACCAAAAATATGAAGTGCCTATAATAATATCAAATTGCAATGGCTGAACTCTCCAAATCAAGTTGTGATCCAGTCTCTGGTTTCATTCATTATTTAGCCCCTGGAAATATATTTTTTTAAGGAAAAATGAAAATAATGACTAATAACTAAAAAGCCTAAGTAGCTGATTACTAGAGGGGGAAGGACATGTAGGATATAGATCCTTTGTTCAAAAACCATGTTTTTAAAAGGTCAAGAAATCTAGGATAAGAATCTTCTTGTGGCTGATGAGGATGCCAAAGAATTGGATTGTGGTAATGGCTGCTTAAGCTTTGTAAAGGCATTAAAAATCATTGAATTGAACCCTTGAATTCAATGAGTTTTATACTATATAAATTACATCTCAGTAAAGTTGTCCTAACAAAGGGAAATACAGAGCAGTACCTCACAGAAGTAAGGACATAGGAAGTTATGGGGATGAAAGCAGCAACTACGGAGAGAGGGATCAAACACACATAGTGGTAAAGAACCAGAACTGTGGTCCAACAGAACTTGATTCAAGGACCTACACAAACTTAGGCTAAATATCAAATCTCTCCAAGCCTGATTTCTTCATCTTTATGTTACAAAGCTGTTGTGAAAATTACAAGAGATAAAAGTAAGACTCAGGAAGGTGTTAAGCATTAAGTATTCAAGAAATATCAAATTATATGTTCCTACTGAAAAAATACTTTTCATTTTTTATTTTAAACCAGTTCTACTTACAAAGTGCTTTAACTTAAATAAGGATTCAATAAGAACATAGTTGAGAATGAAGATATTAAGCATAATCTCTTTATTTTTTTCATTTTCAGTGTTGAAGTAAACCATCAGCAAAAAGGGAAAAAAGAGACAACTGAGCAAGAAAAGATTTTTGGCCAAGGAAATCCAAAAGAAAATACTTTGTCAATGTGGAATTTTAGCCAAGAAAACTCTCAACATTAGCTATCTGACTTGACTCTAGAGTTAATTATAAACGAACTGTGACTAGGAGAAAATATAACCCAAAATGCCACAGCAGGCAAGAAGTAGGATTTGCTTTGCACAATTCACTGCCCCTACTGACTACCAAGAGAAACCAGCCAAAACCTTGCAAACAAATAAGTCATGAAGCTGTTAATATGAGCAAGGTGATCAAAACACAATTAAGGGTATTACCTGCCAAAGGCAACCTGAAATTCAAAACTGGCTAAATGTGCCCTGCTATGAGGGAGTAGAAAGACCACTGTTATTAAAATAAACCTTCTGTTTTAAACTCAGACTACATTTTTTAACCAAAAAAAAAAAAAAAGCAACATTACAAAAACCTTTTGTTTTAAATTGAAACCAAATTATCGTTTGCCATGGAAACCGTCTGACAAGAGTCAGCCAGCTTCACCTTTGACTATGAGGATAATTTATCAATGCCAACTCATAACAAACATCCTGTACATGACTCCATTCCATCACTCTAACTCCCTGACCCCCTTGCCAGGAACTCTCTAACACACTTTGAAACGAAGGCTCCTGCTTTTCAGAGTTAAGATAAAGAAGCCCCTGCTAAACACAACAATTTTCTTACCAGGTCTTGCTGGTTGCTAGAGAACCCAATGTGGTAAAAATCGAAGAGTAACATCCCCGTTAAGAACAGAAAGAAAAGAACTGGTGTTCCTCCCAATCAAAAGTCCCTGAAATGTCCTACATCAATGTACTTATAACAACATGCCCTCTCTCCACGTGGAGCGAAGAGCAAGGAGAAGCAGCAACGGGTGGTGGTCCAGTAGAAAAAGAAGTTGCTCTAAATACAGTTGGATTTCTTTTTTCTTCTTCTATTGAAACTGCTTGTCATTAAAAAGCAATTTAAAAATTCTTCAAGCATTTTTTGAAAATATATCTGTCCTGTGATATTCTTTGTATAATTTTAATAAACATTTTCTCTTCCACACAGGATCTTTTTTTAAAAAAAAAAGATTTATTTATTTATTTATTTATTTGATAGTCAGGGTTACACAGAGAGAGGAGAGGCAGAGAGAGAGAGAGGTCTCCATCCGCTGGAGTTGGCCACAATGGTCAGAGCTGCGCCGAACCAAAGCCAGGAGCTAGAGCTTCCTCTAGGTGTCCCACGCGGGTGCAGGGGCCCAAGGACTTGGGCCATCCTCCACTGCTTTCTCAGGCCATAGCAGAGAGCCACACAGAATCTTTATTTACAAGTGTTACCTACTATTAAAGATATATTTTTCTTTTTTTTAAAGATTTATTTATGTATTTGAGAGGCAGAGTTACAAAGAGTGTGAGAGCGAGAGAGAGAGAATGAATGAATGAATGAGAATATGAATCTTCCATCTGCTAGTTTACTCCCCAGATAGCTGAAACTGCCAGGGCAGAGCCAGGCTTAAGGCAGGAGCTTCATCTGGGTCTCCCACATGGGTAGCAGGGGCCAAGCACTTGAGTCATCTTCCTCTGCTTTCCCAGGCACATTAGCAGAGAGCTGGATCAGAAGTAAAGCAGCCAGGACACAAATCAGCCGCCATATGGGATGCCAATGTTGCAGGCAGTGGCTTTACCTGCTGTGCCACAACAGCGCCCTCTAAAGATATGTTTATTCTTTTAAGATTTATTTATCTAATTGAAAGAGTTACACAGAGAGAAGAGGAGACAAAAGAGATATTCCATCCACTCATTCAACCCCCAAACGGCTATAATGGCCAGGGCTAGGCCAGGTCAAAGCCAGGAGTCAGAAGCATCTTCCAGGTCTCCCACGTGGGTGCAGTGGCCCAAGCACTTGGGCCATCTTCCATTGCTTTCCCAGGCACATTAGCTGGGAGCTGGATTAGAAGCAGAGCAGCCAGGACTTGAACTGGCAGCTATATGGGATGCCAGCAACACAGGCAGCAGATTCACCCACTATGTCACAATGCCGGCCCCTAAAGAAATATTCTTTATAAGAGGTAGTACTCATTTTCACAGGAATCAATTGTGATATCAACCAATGAATATGAAATCTGAGAGAGAAAAGAAATGGCAGCTAACTTTTTTTTAAAAAAAAATAGCATGTTACTTAATATACCAAACTAATTTAAGAGAAATAAATCATTTAGAATTCCAATTGTCATAAAATCTTTCCATTTTGGATATAATATCAATCTTACCATCTTTGCAGGTTTTTCCATTCTCCAGGAGTTTGACCCCAGTTGGACAAGCACACTGATAGAAAGGCTTGACTGGAGACATCAGACACAAATGGGAACAACCACCATTATCAATTCCACATGGATTAGTAGCTGTCAAATATAAATCACACTGATTAATATTAATGATTATGGATGACCTCCCTCAGTCTGGGTATATAAAGATTAACAATCACAATGGAAGCAAATGTGATAAACCAAAATTATTACCAAATGCCATCCAAGTTCTTGACTACCAGATCACCTCCAAGGAAGGGAATTAATTAGTGATAATTTACAAGCACTTTGTATCCAAAGAGTAACAAGTAAGAGTCAATCAGCGGATTGAAACTAAATGCTATCTTGCACCATATAGACTACACATACAGAGACAAATAGGAAATGAATTGCCGCGGGGTGAGAAAGGCTTCCTTGGAGGAGCCCTGAAGGGTAACAACTGCAAAGCACGGTAGAGCCACAGGCCGAAAGCCAGGGGGCGGCACACTGGATTGGATGATGCAGCAAACAGCACAAGTGGAGGTGAGGGAGGGCGCCTGCTGACATGTGAACAGCAGCTGAAGCTGAAAGAGTGTAGAGTGGCAACAGGCTGTGGTGCAGGCACTGACAGCCAAGAAAGGAAAGAGAACACTGAAACGATTCGTGTGGAAAGGATAGACAGAACTGACTGAAAGAGAAAGGGAGCAGCAGAGAGAACTAATTAACATATCTGTAGAAACTATGAAAACGTATGCATTCAAAAAGATCAACATAGCGATGGAGACCAACAGAATATGAAACATAAAAGAGCAATATCAAAGTTAAGTGCAATTTATTGAACCATAAAGCATAAAGGGACAAAACATTTTCTTTTTTCCAAAAGAGTAACACACACACATAAAAACATTTTTATGGGCTAAGATCATCAGACTCCAGTGTAACACATTTGATATTTGATTTTCTCCCCCTAAATGGAAAGAACTAATACAAAGCAAGACACAATGCAATGCCTCTTCATTCTTGGCTACAGAACACAATCTGAAATACACTCAGATGCATGCCAGGCATTTATTTACATACAAGTGCCAAGCACTTAACATTCTCATATTCCTTTTAAACCTAATTCCAATCCTGTCTTACCAAAAGTGGTTGCCAGCAGTCACAGCCCAAGTTATTATAAAAGTTGACCAAAAACAGAAGCAAAACTAAGACAAAAAGAGGTGGTTGAGGTAGGCATGTTAAGGTTTAAACAGGTGCTTTATTCAGCAACTGAGGTTATTTAAATTTACCAGCTGGACTAAGAGGTTTCTATTCAAGAAAAATGTTTGTTTTATAAACATACACACACACTGAGAGAAATAATATAAATAAAAATATACGACTGTAGAAGCTTAGCATATGAGCTCTCAATTATTAATGCATTTCTCTCTTCTCCACCTCCATAACTCCTTTCCCCCAGAAAGGGCTGAGGTAGTCTACAGCGACAGCCATCAGGCGGCGAATGGTTTAGGTTATGTGTCTAACGTAAATTATATCTTGATGTTTTTACTCTTTTCTATTCCCTCTCACTACCTTTGGATACATACTCCCTTCTCCTGACCCTCACTGAAGCCAGACACCAGAGCACTACACAGCTGTTCCAACTTGCAATTCAAAAATCAAGATCACTTACCATTTGGCTGCCTCTGTTGGCTGAAGGCATGTATATCCATGGGAGAGAAGATGTTAGAATGGATTTCACGCAGACCCTCGCCAGTATACTTGTTGCAAGCCAAAATGGAGTGTGTATTCCAGTCAGTCCAGTACAATGTGTCCTCAAATAACGTCAAGGCAAAAGGATGTGGAAGAGAACCTTTAACTACTGCCTGCCTATTTGCAAAAAGAGAAAAACTTACTTCTAAATTTTCTTCTTTTACTATAAAATCATCCCATCCATTAAAACAGGCTTAGTATTCATTAACAAATATAAATTCCTAGTAACACATACTTTAGTTCAAATACATTTATTAAAAAGTAAGCCACGTGATTAATTCAAATGTTTTCAAGACCTCCATAAACTCCAACAAAGCCTTCAGAATGGTCTCTAACTTGGCAGCAGGCCCGAAGTTCACTACAAGCCACCTGATTCGGAGAAAAAGCCCCAGTGTTAGCACTGCCGCCCATTCTCACCCCTCCACTACAACCTCTAGACTCACATCTACTCTCTCATCACATAATTCATGTCAACAGACAAAGCTGGCCAATAAGAAAAATCCCAGGGGTTACCACCAGCACTGGGAAGTAGATATAAATCAGCAATAGGTTTATCCCTTCTGGACATGGAAAAACAGAGAACCTGAACCTGTTTCTTTCATTATGTCTTCCAGTTTTCAGAACTAAGAATGAAAACACACATCTGAGGCTAAAAAGGCATTCATTCAGGGAGAACTCTCCCTGCAGGCTCCAGCCCTGCTGCTAATTTTTTGCTATCTTGTTTTTAAACTCCCCAATTCAGGCAGCCAAAAGGAAGTCCTGTCACTGGCAGGATATGTTCATGAAACAAAGCAGACTTAAATTTCCAGAAGCAGTGTGTATTACATACAAAGGAAAGCAGAGAGCCTGATTATTATTTGGGGCCCAGAACTTTGCAGAGTGTCACAAAGAACTACATAATCAGTAAATGCTCTAGAACGAGCAATTAAACCATGTTTTGAGTCAAAATATTTTTTAAAATGCTTTCATGTTTTCACAAATAATCCCAGTGGTCCAGCCTAGAGGGGAGAGAGGGAGAAGAGGAAGAAAGAAAAATCAGGGAGAAAGGGAAGGGAAAAGAGAAGTTATTTAAGAGAAATAGAGAAACACATATCTTAAGGAAGCTGTTTCAGTTTTTAGGTAGGTCAGGTTACTTGATGATCTCTAATATTCCTCCCAAGTAAATTAAACTCAAGAACAGTAATTTTCATCTAAGCAGAATTAGCATTCGTTATTGTACGTGGACTGATCCTCATCTACTAAACGAGGCCAGATTTTTTAGAAAATGAATACAAAATAAGCATGACTAGTTTACCAAACAAACTTTCCATTTTGGAATCTGCTACCTACTCTGCTAGCCCAGATCACCACAAGTTTCTACCCTCATTTTCCTTAATTCTCTCCTATCCTATTACTTTTCCCTCTGAATTCCCAAAAAGAATTGTCACAATACATACTCCAGAAGTGCTTTCTTCCACTTTTTATAGGAATAGTTTTATTATGCTTACTAAAGTGACTATGTTATTTAGAGGAATAATATTAACATTTAATATGTCGATATGTTTCACATTAAAATATTCCAAGATTCATTATGGTAAGAGTTCTGAGAGGCTGCTAATAAAGATAACACACACAAACGAAAAATGCGGAACAGGAAAAAACTAAGTTACTTGGCATGTCATTACCATCCTGAAGAACTGCAAATTACATAACCAGATCTTTGAAAGGCTTTGGAGAAAAACAAATAAACTTTTTAAGTCCTTAAAATAAATGCTAAAGGTTATTCTAATGAACTAAGCAAAATACACATATGGGAAAAGTAAAATTCCTTCCTAAAAGCTATACTCATTTTATACTGATTAAAAGCATAGAATTATGACTCAGAGCTGTTTTTTATAAGTATTTAGTGGATACTTGTAGATGTAAGTATAAAAACAGATGATGCAGAAATAATCCAAATTTGTGACTAATTGTGCTGGGGATAAAGTGGGAAGGAAATAAAACCTGGGATGGCAACCAGGGGGATTTCATCTTTAGGTGAGCAATATTAAAACATAAATCTCAAAGGGGCCGGCGCTGTGGCACACTAGGCTAATCCTCCACCTGTGGCACCGGCATCCTATATGGGCACTGGGTTCTAGTCCCGGTTGCTCCTCTTCCAGTCCAGCTCTCTGCTGAGGCCCGAGAGGGAAGTGGAGGATGGCCCAAGAGCTTGGGCACCTGTATCCGCATGGGAGACCAGGAAGAGGCACCTGGCTCCTGGCTACGGATCAGCATAGCTCCGGCTGTGGCGGCCATTCGGGGGGTCAACCACCGGATGGAAGACCTTTCTCCCTGTCTCTCTCTCTCACTGTCTATCACTCTGTCAAATAAATAAATAAATAATTTTTTTTAAAAAATCTCAAAAACGTTTTTGAATATTGAATACTTGGGAAGGCTGAGTTTAAATCCTGCCCCCCCAACACACATTTACTACTGGTATCATTTCTACAAGTTTTGTTTCCCTCATCTGTAAATAGAAGACAATAATCTATCCTCATGGTGTTACTACAAAGATTAAACAGCAACATGTGCAAAGTTCATTTAATATTATGCTTGGTACTTCATAATATTTCATTAATGATCCCATAATTTCAGGGTATACATTTATAAAATTTATTATTTCTGATACAGGGTATACTCTGTGATGAGCATTTCATGTGATAGCTTTTAAATAATTTTTAAGTCAACAGCTTACTAAAATCAGTAAATACTATACTAAAATTAAATTCATTTTTGATAATTTAATAAAATGTTATATAATAATTTAGATAAATTAATAAAAATTCTATTTCTTTTTAATTATTTAAAATTTCAATTATTTTAATTTTATTTGAAAAGCAGAGAGACAGAAAGGAATACACAGAGATCTTTCATCCACTGGTTCACTTCCCAAATGGCCACAATAGCCAGAGTTGTGCCAAATAAAGCCTGGCACTCAATCCATAGCTCCCATGTAGGTGCAGGGATCAAAGTACTGGAGTCGTCATCTGCTGATTCCCAAGGTGTGCATTAGCAGGAAGCTGGACTGGAAGTGAGTAGCTGGGTCTCAAACCAGAGAATTAGATATGATTCAGGCATCCCAACCACTGAGGCAAATGCCCCCTCCTTAATATTCAATTTAAATGACACTTATTTTTCATTGCCTCCTTCATCTTCTCCCCTGCAAGTCAAGATATTTTTCTTCCTCTAGGCTCTCATAACAGGTAGTGGACTGTATTATGACTGTTAATTTATCCAACAAATCTATCACTGATAATATTTTTGAGAGTGGGAACACTAGCTTATTCATATTCCCAAGATCCTATACAATGCTGTATGCATAAACAAGGTGGACTTATTAGACACTCTGTGAATGTTTGACAAAATTAAATGTTTTAAATGAAAACTGTGTAATTAACAGTGTTGACAAGACTATCACTTGTCATTTACTGGCATGTCCAGATGCTGACTTGTTCCTGAAAGTGGAGATACCTGATATAATCCTCACTTTTCTTCTCCCTGGCTGAGATTACCAAACAGGGCTACTTGCTACTTCATCTATTGGAAACACTAGTTACTCCAAAGAGGTGTTGATCGAAGCAAATAAAAATGAAAATGGTAAGGAAAAGCAAAGCCCAGTTCTTCACGACTATGCCACAACAAGAGAAGCTAAAAACTGCGACTCCACTGTGGAGACCACAGAAAGAAACTGCGATACCCTCCCCCATGATGTTTTGATTTAATATTATGTTTTAGCAACCCCCAAGCACCATTTCCTGCTGGTATCTGTCATTTTCTGCAGTTTTCAGATAAAGCTCACCCCCATCATCTCCCCTCCAGGACAAGCCTTCCTTCCCACTACTTCTTTCAGATTCCATGAACTTTGCAGGCACTTACTTCAATTTCTGAACATACACACCCCCTTCCATACTCACTGACCTTTTATTTCTGGTTCTCCTCCCAAAAAGGCGAGGATAAGAAGGTTCTTGATATTTTATGTATTAGTAAATTTAAACTAGAAAAGAACTTTAGTTTCCCAAATGTATGGTATCTACTGTTGTTATTAACAGTGAACGTGAGCAGGGCCGGCACTGTTGGAGTAGCAGGTAAAGCTGCCACTTGAAGCGCCGTCATCCCATGTGGGCGCCCAGCTGCTTCACTTCCAATCCAGCTCTCTGCTACAGCCTGGGACAGCAGCGGAAGATGGCCCACATGCTTGGGGCCCTGCACCCACATGGGAGACCTGAATGAAAAGGTACAAACTCGAGATACAAAAAGCTGTGTAGGGGCCAGCATTAAGGAGTAGTGGGTGAAGCCGCCACCTGTGATGTCAGCATCTCCTATGAGAGCGAATTCAAGTCCTGGATATGGTCCCGCTCCCTGCTGGTGTGCATGGGAAAGCAGTAGAGGTAAACCCAAGTATTTGGGGACCCTGCCACCATGTGGGAGACCCAGATGAAACTCCTGGCTCCTGGCTTGAGCCCAGCCCAGCCCCAGTGGATGTAGCCATTTGGGGAGTGAGCCAGCAGATGGAAGACATTCCCCCCTCCACATTCCCTCTCTATGTCTTTCAAATAAATAAATCTTTAAAAAAAAAACTGTCAAAAAAGCCAGAAGATCTAGTGAGCATGAGTGCCTCTGCAGGAGGAATCACACCTGACAGGTCTAAGGACAGAAGAGAACATGCGATTGACAGCACTGGAAGGCATAGCAAAACCATGAAAGAACAGCAATCAGGTGACAGGGTGCTGAGTGAATACAAAGAATCCATGATGAGCACAGACAGCTAGCGTGCTTCCACCTACTGCGAATGGCAATGGCGACAACTCACCTCCAGAGACCCTTCCAAGTTCCCTTCCAGGTTTCCTTTCAGATAAAGCCTCATGCTGAGCAGACAGTACTAGGAGTAGAATGAAGTGGGGTGAAAGGTACAAGAGAAACAATGGAAAATAAGGTACAGAAAATAATGGGAAAAGGAAACAGAGCCAAGAAATCCCAAGAGGTAAGTTGTCAGTTTTTAAAGTACACACGTGCGCACATACACACACTGGAGTCTGTTACATTGCAAAAGTTAAGACAAACCCTGCCTTCTACATGTTCAAGAAAAAGTTTCACAT